CCGCTGTGCCCCGGCCAATGGCGACTCGCCCGCCGCCCCCGTTCCCCAGGTTGAAAGCGTCCCGGGAGCTGGTGGCCCGCCCTGAAAGCTCCCGGTCCCCGCGGGCGAGCCGGGCAAACGCCGGGAGTCTGGATGGGTCGGGTGGCGTGTGCGCAAAACGGACTTGTTATCCGCATCCTAAACCTGCAGAGATTGCGAACTGGTCCCTTCTCGCTGGGCTTCAGTTTCCTCGTTCGGTAGGGGCGCTGGGAGAAAGCAGCTGAGGTTTTTGTGCCCTCAAATTCTATTTCTGTGGTTCTGAAACTTCCTTGCGTAAGAATTGGGAAAGGGGAGAAGGGATTTTGACAATACAGATGCCTGATTCCTCCCATTCTGACCCAGCAGGTCTGGACGGGGGGCCCAGGAATTGCTGTACGTCCACGATGGTGATGTCGTGGAGAACACGTGGCGAAACACTATAATCTTTCCAAATAAGGCGTCACAGCCCCGAGGACAAAAAACAACACAACCAAAGCAAAGCAAGAACAAAACCACCAGTAGCTCCATTCATTCGTTTATTCATTCAATAAATATGTCTTAGGTCCCTCCTATGTGTCAGGCATGGTTTAAAGTCTGAGGATACAGATTTACACAAAACAAACTCTGCCTTTTACAGAGGTGACATTTTGGTTGAGGTCCTACTGGTGTCTGGCACTACTTTACTGATCTTTTGTGCTCCTCACTGAGGTCGTGGGTGAGTACCCCTGATTTCCAGATAAGACCTCTGGCCTTTAGTCTTACAAGTGGTGAATGGGGGCACTATATCCCCCACCTGTCCACCCATCCCTAGAATCAAATGCAAGTTTCTCTCCCTCTCTCCTCACAGTCACACCTTGACAGCTGCAGACCCCTGGCTTGTATACATACCTCCCACCTTTAACCCGGGCAGGTTCATCTGCTTGGAATGTCAATCTCCTGCCCCCTAACCCCCATCACACACAAACACACACACACACACACACACACACACACTATCTTCCCTCTTGCCTGCCTTCCTTCAGGAAACCTTAGATTGTCCAGTCTGACATGTCTTCCTCCTCAGAGGCCCTGGGAAGAGTTGCTGAGCTGATGATGTCTGAGGTCCCTGTGTCACTCATGCCCCCTTCCCAGCTCTGTCCTGGGGACTGGCCAAGACTGCATCCACTTGGCCTGGACGATAACTTTCTCTTCAGCTCTAATGGCAGCTCACGTGCCAGAGAGAGTGCAGGGAGTGGAGTGGAAAGGCTTCAAGGCACTTTCTGGCTCCATTTTCCTTCCTTTCTTGAAGATGCCTCCCAGCCCTGCCATGTGCTCTACCGACTTCCTTGACCCAGGCCAGAATGGGGGGTGGGGCTGGAGGGTGTCCCTTGGCTGCTGGGAGAGCAGCCCCTGAAGTCTTCAGGCTCCAGTGCCTGAAGAAAAGTCTGTTCCCACACCTGGCTCCCCCTACCCCTTCGTCTGACCATGACCTTGGCCAGGCTGGGCTTTACTGAGGCGGAGGAGGAGGTTGCACAGCCCCCTCTCCGCAGGGCCAGTCCCACATGCAGCCCCAGGCCAGGCTGCTGCTTCCTGAGCCATGAATTATGACCGGGAGATTTCCTTCCCTGTCTGCGCCTCCTTACAGGGGCTCCCGGCTCCCTTCACTTTCGCTTTCTCCCCCTTGGCCCCCTCTCTTCAGTTCTTCGCCTTCAGGTGGCTTGAAATTCCTCTGTCCAGCCCCCTCTCTTTTCCAGCTTGATGGGAGAAGCCAAACAGGGCGTGAACTTGGCCCTGAAGGAAGGCGGGAGGGGGCCGACTGGGTAGGCTCATTCATTCATTTGCTCCACCGGCAGGTTTTGACACATGGGACCCCGGGAGTAAAATAAAATCATGAATGAGACTGAGCCTGGCCTGCTGCAGCCCAGAGGGGAAGGCAAGTTGTAAACAAAGAATTTCAGGACAATGTGGTTGGAGCAAGCCAGGGTCTGGCATCAGAGAGACGGTTCCGGCCCAAGGCTAGCTGCTTCTTGAAGTCTCAGTTTCCTGCTCTGAAAACTGAAAAATGGTACCCATTAGTAGGGCTGGCGATGGCTCCCTGAGTTTCTGCCAAAAACACCAGGGCCTGACCCCCACAAGCGCTCACCGTCTGGGAGGAGCTTGTGGTGGTGTGTGAGGGCGGCTGAGGGGCAGCTTTGACTCTGTTCTAGGCTTTGTTCGTGGGAGGGGGGTGGGGGTCCTGTCACATTATCAGCTCACCCACACAGGAGGCTTCAACTCCTGTCCTCCAGTCACAATGGCCTCCTCACTGACCCTGGAGCTCACCTCTGCCTGGCATGCCCTTTTTCCAGATAACTCCATATCTTATTCCCTTTTTTCCAGTCTTCCCTCCAATCTCGTCTCCTCAGGAGGCCTTCCCTGACCACTGGGACTAAAACAGCAACTGTCCCTTCCGTCTCCCAGCACCCTGCCTACGGCTCTCCTGTGCCCCTTTACCCCACTTTACTTCTTTCTAGAGCGTTTTTCCACTGCTTTCACGCATTCATTCACAACTATTAATTGAGCACCTACTATTTCCCCAGCACAGTTCTTGGTTCTGGGACTATGGAAGTGAACATACTACAAATTTATTTGTTCACTAGAATGCAAGCTTCACGGGGCAGGGGCTTTGTATTTTGCTCATCTTACTCCCTCCCCATTACAATCTTCTGAGGTAGGTGTTGTTTTTATGCCCATTTTACAGATGAAGAAACTGAGGTTCCGAGAGGGAAAAGTGACTTGCCTGAGGTCACACAGTGGGCCAGTGGAGGAGGGCAGGTCAGTTGGTCTCCTTCCCCAACCCCATGACCTCTCAGGCAGCCCAGAGGTGTGTGAGGGCTGAGTAGGAGTCCATCAGGGAAGAGGAGGACCTGCCTTTCTAACCAGGGCCCCGGGCTTGTGGGAGGGGGGATAAGGACACATATGTAATACCTTGAGGCAGTGGTTCTCACCCTTCTGGCCCTTTAAATACAATTTCTCATGTGGTGACCCAACCATAAAATTATTTTCGTTGCTACTTCATAACTGTAATGTTGCTACTGTTATGAATCGTAATGTAAATATCTGATATGCAGGATGGTCTTAGGTGACCCCTGTGAAAGAGTCGTTCGACCGCCAAAGGGGTCGCGGCCCACAGGTTGAGAACCGCTGCTCTGAGGCATCAGCTTTGCACATCACTGAGCCTTTGCCCAGCTGTCCTCCCTGCCTGCAGTGCCTGTCCCTTCAGGTCTGACCAGACAACCCTACTCAGCCAAAGTTCAGTGCCGCCTCTCAGTTTTGCTTCTCTTCTCCAACTTTGGTGCAGTCTCATAGTGTTGATCTCATTGTATTTTGACTTCTCTCCCTTCATCCCTGATTCCCCACTTCTATTTTCCAGCCCCTACAGGGTACCCACTCCAATATTTTTACTACTTTGTTTTTTTAGAGCTGCTTGGTTTACAACAAAATTGAGAAGGTACAGAGATGTCCTACATGCCTCCTGCCCCCACACATGAATAGCCTCTCCAGTATTAACATCACTCACTCACCAGAGTGATACATATATTACAACTAGAGGCCTGATGCACGAGATTTGTGTACTGGCGGGGCGGGGGGGGTGTCCCTCAGCCCAGCCCTCTCGAAGTCCGGGAGCCCTCCAGGGATGTCCAACTGCCAGCTTAGGCCTGCTCCCAGACATCCTTAGCACTGCTATGGAGGTGGGAGAGGCTCCCACCAACACCACTGTGCTTGCCAGCTAGGAGCCTGGCTTCTGGCTGAGCAGCGCTCCCTCTGTGGGAGCACACTGACCACCAGGGGGCAGCTCCTGCATTGAGCATCTGCTCCCTGGTGGTCAGTGCACAGGATAGCAACTGGTCATTCTGCTGTTAGGTCAATTTGCATATTAGCCTTTTATTATATAGGATTGATGAACCTACCATGACACATCATTATCACCCAGAATCCATAGTTTGCATTATGGTTCACTCTAGATATTGTACATCCTATGGGTTTGGACAAATGTATTCTGACATATACCCATCAAATACCCTAAAAGTCCTCTGTGCTCTGCCTGTTTACGTACCCCCATCCCTGCAACCACTGATCGTTTTGTCTCCATAGTCTTGCCTTTTCCAGAATATCCTAGAGTTAAAATCATAGTGTGTAGCCTTTTCAGATTGACTTCTTTCACTTAGTAATATGTATTTAAGCTTCCTTTATGTCTTTTCAGAGCTTGATAGCTCATTTATTTTTAGTGCTAAGTAATATTCCATTGACTGGATGTACCACAATTTATTAATCCATTCACCTACTGGATCATAGCTTAGTTGCTTCCAAGTTTTGACAATTATGAATAAGGCTGCAGTAAACGTCTGTATGCAGGTTTTTGTGTGGACATAACTCCTTTGGCATGTGATTGCTAGATCATCTGATAAGAATATGTTTAGTTTTATTTATTTTATTTTATTTGTTTTGTTTGTGAATCCTCACCTGAGGATATTTTTTCCATTGATTTCTTTAGAGAGAGTGGAAGACAGGGGGAGACACAGAGAGAAACATCGATGTGAGAGAGACACATTGATTGGTTGTCTCCCGCATGTGCCCTGACTGGGGCTGGGTTTTGAGCCTGCAACCGAGGTATGTGCCCTTGACCAGAATTGAACCCAGGACCCTTCAGTCCACGGGCCAACACTCTATCCACTGTGCCACAACGGCTAGGGCAGAGTATGTTTCGTTTTTAAGAAATCACAAATTGTCTTCTAAAGTGGCTGTGCCATTTCACATTCCCGCCAGCAATAGATGAGAGCTCCTGTTGCTCCACATCCTCGCTGGGGTTTGGTGTCGTCATGTTCCGGATTTTGGCCATTCTAATAGGTGTGTGGTGGTCTCTCTCCTTAATTTGCATTTCCCTGATGATGTATGATGTGGAGCATCTTTTCAAATGCTTATTTGCCATCTGTATATCTCCTTTGGTGAGGTGTCTGTTAAGGTCTCTGGCTTATTTTTTAATTGGGTTGTTTGTTTTCTTATTGTTGAATTTTAAGTGTTCTTTTGGATAAAAGTCCTTTACCAGATGTGTCTTTTGCAAATATATTCTCCTAATCTGTGGCTTGCCTTCTAATGGGGATCGAGCCTGCAACCTTGGCATGTGCCCTGACAGGGAATCGAACTGTGACCTCCTGGTTCATAGGTCATTGCTCAACCACTGAGCCATGCTGTCTGGGCCCAATTCTCTTTATATTGTCTTATGCAGAACAGAGGTTTTAAATTTTAGTGAAGTCCAGCTTATCAATTATTTCTTTCATGGGTCATGTTTTTGATGTACCTTAAAAGTCAAAACCATAGTTTTTCTCCTACGCTGTCTTTCAGGAATTTTATAGTTTTGCGTTTTACATTTAAGTCTAGGACCCATTTTGAGTTAATTTTCGTGAAGGGTGTAAAGTCTGTGTCTAGATTCATGTGCCTGCTTATGGGTGCCGGTTGCTCCAGCACTGTTTGTTGAAGAGGCTATTTTTGCTCCATTGTGTTGCATTTACTCCCTTGTCAAAGGCCAGTTGACAATATTTATGGGGGTCTATTTCTGGGCTTTCTATTCCAGGCCATTGTCCTATTTGCTTATCTTCTCACCAATATTATACTGTGTAGCTTTACAGTACCTCTTGAGGTTGGGTAGCATTAGTCCTCTAACTTTGATCTCCTTTAATATTGTGTTGACTATTTTGGGCTCACTCAAATATTTTTGATACCTGTCTTTAAATTAATATGTATCATTATAAAATACAGTGGGGCCTTGACTTACGAGTTTAATTCGTTCCGTGACGGAGCTCGTAACTCAAATTACTCGTATGTCAAATCAATTTTCACCATTACAGTGAATTGAAATGCTGGGCTGATGTTGTGGCGTTCACTGTGACGTTCGCTGCGCCAACTAGCGGTGGGGTATCTGAAGCTGGCTTGTAACCCGAATTTTAGCTCGCAACTCAAAGCAAAAAATTGGCCGAGAGACGGCTCGTATCTCGAAAAACTCGTTAGTCAGGACACTTGTAAGTCAAGGCCCCACTGTATATAGTGCTGATTTGTGTGAGTGGTTTATAAATTTGTGCAAATGGTCGTTTCTATAGACCTGTTTTTTTGGTTATTTTGGTTACTCAACACTGTGCTCAGTGAGCTGAGTCTAACTGGAGTCCATTGCTTCTAACTGTTGCTCAGTGTGCATGGCGCGCGCACATAAATTCCCCATGTCTCCTCTTTCCATTCCTTTAGTGATGGACACTGTGGCTACTTCCAACTCCCGCGTCCCCAGGCAAAGCTGTGAACTTCTGCTGCGTGACTTTCATGGACTCCTGTGTGTGTTTCTGGGATGTGGACCCAAGGGTAGGATTCCTGGGCAGGAGGAAGATTTATGCTTAGGCTAAGCGCCGTCTGCCTGCACGCTGGGGTGACTGCTGCAGCCCACATGCCCACAGCTGGGCGTGAGAGACCGCTTTCCCCACATCATCCCTGGCACTGGAATCATCTGATCTCCTCTTTTAATCTGCATTTCTCTAGTGACACAGAAATGGGTTATTTTCCATCTCATTGTGTTGCCTCCTCCACTAGACTGTGCATTCTCTAAAGGTAGGGAATGTATTCCAGAATCCGAGACCAGAGCCTGGCGCACTGTGGGCAATAATGAATACTTGTGGACTGACTGACTGACTGAATTAAAAGGCTACTACACAGCCTCCTACACCTACTTTGTACCAAACCTTGACCGAGATGGTGGTGGTGCATGTGTGCATGTGTGTGTGTGCAGACGAGGGGACACATCAGTCCTACACCTCAATCTACTTGGAGAAAAAGACCAAAATAGTTAGAACGTATTGAAGGCCTACTTTTTTGTCCAGGACTCATAGACATGTAATCATAACCTTAAGTTCAGCAAGATAAGTATTTCTCGCTCACATGCAAGGTGTTTGCAAGCATGGCAGATCTGGTGTGGTAGCCAGCCTCCCAGGGAGCCCTCAGTGATCCTTGTCTCCTGGTCTTCACCTCCCTGCATAGGCCCCTCTGAATCAGATCTGACCCCCTCAGCGTGTGACCCCCGAATCCAGCTGAGAAAGGCATTGGTTCCCCAGCCTACAGCCAGCACCAACCTACCAACCATGTAAGTGAGCCTCCTTGGATATGGACCCTGAATTTCTGACCCACGGGAACTGCGAAAAATAACTAAGAAAGATAAAGACATCATTGGTGTTGTAAGCCCCTACGTTTAGGGTATTTTGTCCAACAACAGTAGGTAACGAAAGCAGGTGGTGTCAGGGACCTGGGCTCTGTCTATCGTTTTGCTTCACCGTATGTGGCTTCCACTCCCTAGGTTGTCTCACGGACCAATGTGGCTGCTGGAGCCATCCGGTCTGCCTTCCAACTGGCAAAGAGGAGGAAGAGGCAGAAAAAGGAAGGGCACACTTCACCCTTTGAGGACACTTGTCTGGGAGTTACAGTCTCACGTCTGCCCATGCCCCATGGGCCAGACCTTGTTATCTGACTATATTGTACTGAAAAGGAGGCTGACAAACATAGTCTCCATTGCACACGGCCTCACAACCAGCCGAACACTAGGTTTCCATTAGCAAAGAAGAAAAAATGGATATCGGGAAACAACTGGTGATGTTGATAACCACCGCAGGTGTTATCTCTGGACATAACACAGTGTCACAGGGTTCAGTTAGAGATTCGGGAGCCAGACAGCTTAGGTTTAGCTCTGCCACTTACCAGCCAAGTGATGTGGGGAAATTTATTGAATTTCTCTGTGCCTCAGTTTCCTTGTCTGTAAATCAGGGATCATAATAGAGCCTGTATAGGGTTATTGGGAGGATTGAATTGAGTCAAAATACACACCGTTTGTAAGACTTCTGGAACATGTTATGTGCTGTCTAAGCCAGTGATGGCGAACCTTTTTAGCTCGGCGTGTCAGCATTTTGAAAAATCCTAACTTAACTCTGGTGCCGTGTCACATATAGAATTTTTTTGATATTTGCAACCATAGTAAAACAAAGACTTATATTTTTGGTATTTATATATTTAAATGCCATTTAACAAAGAAAAATCAACCAAAAAAATGAGTTCGTGTGTCACCTCTGACACCCATGTCATAGGTTCGCCATCGCTGGCCTGAGTGTTGGCTGTTATCTTTATCTAATCCTTACCAGGGCTTTTCTCAAGGTCACACAACCAGAAAGTGATGGAAGCAGACGTTGGCCTGACAGCAATTTTCCCCACTTGCCTCATCCCATAGCAATTCTTAGAGAACAAGATCGCGACCCAGGTCAGCCCCCGGCACATAATAAGCACCCAGAAATATCTGTTGGATGAGTGTGTTAAGTAAACATTTAGGGCTTTCGTACAGAGAGAAAGGTCTTGTTCTGTTCTGTTCTGTTCAGGTTAGTGAGAAAAGGTCTATTGACTTGACTTCACTCACATGGTTCCCACCACATGGGGCTGGTGCCTTTGAATTGCTGGGAACTCTTGTTCTGGGAGCTGGCCAGGGTCCCAGGATAAAAGCAAAAAAGCCTGGGAAGCTGCATTCTGCACCCTCCTTCTAGAAAGTTGAGGGACACTAGCATGTTAAAGGAATCCTGCAGCAAAAAAACTCCGTAGGCTTTATTTCAATCTGCATATTATGGGCTCTTTGACCATAGATCCTCCCACTCAAGCTCCCACCCCCATCCTGGCCCAGACACCTAATAGAGAAAACAGGTGAGCAGACATTTCTCCAAGCTGTTATCAGTGACATCCACCTCAGTGTGCGTGGGTTCCATTCTTTCTTGACAGCACGTTTGATAGGAGCGAGGAGGGTGTGGACAGGAGGGCGCTGGTGACCAGGCAGAGCTGGGCTAAGAGGGGTACTTCCAGGCATTTTCCCAGAGCCCCACTCTCTAAGCCTTACAGTCTAAGGGACTCTTAAACATCACTGGGAATGTAACAGTTGGGATAAAATGTGTTTTCTGGCATTTCTATTAGGGGAAGTGCAATGTAAATGGAAATAATAATAATATAATTGAGGGATTACTCTGTGCTAGGCACTCTTCTAAGCACTTGTATGCACTTTCTCTCAGAGCAGCCCCACGAGCTAAATAGATGAAGGAACAGAGAGATTTAGTAACTTGCCTAGGGTCACACAGCTAGGGAATGGATGGGAATTCTTTGATGAGTTGCCTGTGGTGGGTATGAAGAGGGAAGAGCCTTCCCATGATAGTTTAAGCTTACATGCTCCCAAAACTCTGCTCCAGGGAGCATGGGTCTAGCTGCAGTGCTGGTTTTGTTGAGCCTGCACAAGTACCCACTTGGCTCAGGTTGGCCCTACTAGGAGATGCAAGTTCAGGGCCATCGCAGAATTGCTCCATAATAGAGAGGAAGCTGATGCTGCCGTGGGTGCCCTCCTTCAGTTTCATCCCTCTAAAGCAGCGGTTCTCAACCTGTGGGTCACGACCCCTTTGGGGGTCAAACGACCCTTTCACAGGGGTCGCCTAAGACCATCGGAAAACACATATATAATTACATATGTTTTTGTGATTAATCACTATGCTTTCATTATGTTCAATTTGTAACAATGAAATTGGGCGTCACCACAACATGAGGAACTGTATTAAAGGGTCGTGGCTTTAGGAAGGTTGAGAACCACTGCTCTAAAGAAACACTGGGCTGATGCTTAAAGACTATCAAATGGAAGGAAGTGCTAAGATAGTTAAGCCTGCCCAGGTACCCACTTGGCTTAGGTTGGCCCTAATACCAGTTATACGGAGTCACCAAGGTGATGTAGACGATCAAGATGGTGCTAAATGAAACTGCTGTTTAAGGAGTCCTTTGGAGAAGTCCTGTTGAAAATCTCTAAGGTTGAATGTCAGGGGTAGGGCCCCTATCTAACGCTCAGTGGCTGCCTGTGCCCATGGGCAATTTTCCTCCCCTCTGCATACTAGACAGTGTGGGAGTGCAAATTGGGAGCCGGGAGAACCCAGGCATGGGCAGATCATGCTACCCCCAGTTCCTGGTTTGGAGCTCAGCTCAGACAATAGGATTTCAGAGAAGAGTGAGAGCAGACCCTATTGTTCATCCACACAATATCCCCCAAACAACAGAACCCCAATTTGTCTAGGGCAGTGGTTCTCAACCTTCCTAATGCCACGACCCTTTAATACAGTTCCTCATGTTGTGGTGACCCCCAACCATAAAATTATTTTCATTGCTACTTCATAACTGTAATTTTGCTACTGTTATGAATCATAATGTAAATATCTGATATGCAGGATGTATTTTCATTGTTACAAATTGAACATAATTAAAGCATAGTGATTAATCACAAAAACAATATGTAATTATATATGTGTTTTCCGATGGTCTTAGGCGACCCCTGTGAAAGAGTCGTTCGACCCCCAAAGGGACCGCGACCCACAGGTTGAGAACCGCTGGTCTAGGGGCTCAGTTGGTCTAACTGTAAACATTTCCCTTCTCAGCCTTCGTTGCAGGGAGGGCAGCCACGTGGCTCATTCTGGCCAATGAGATGAAGATGGAAGTTCCTATGGAGGGTCCACTTCCTCAGATGAAATGGCCGTCTCCTGAGAAGGCTTTGCCCTTTACCTTCACCGTCTTTCTGCCTGGAATGGAGATGCAGTTCCTGGTGGAGCAGCCATCTTGATGCCATGAGGACAAAGCTCACATGCTCAGGAGGGCAGAGTGAGACGCCAGAGCAGCTGGGTCCCCGATGTTCTCCTTGAGCAGCCACACTGGCCCCTGATCTCTTGGCGAGAGGGATGGGGGGAACTGTCCTATTTGGTGAAGCCACCGTGTTGGGTTTCTATTATATACAGTCAAATGCAAGCTGTTATAAGTACATCCAGGCCTCCTAACAATGTTCGTACCATTTCATATAGTGCCAGGCACTGAACCAATAATGCCTCACACTCATTGTCTCGGTGCAGCCTCACCATCCTAGGATTATCAACATGTTACAGAAAGGGAAATTAGGGCTCTGAGGTGTTAAGCTAGGAGAGGGGCAGAGTCAAGGTTGTGGGTTCGATCTCTAGTCAGGGCACATACAAGAAGCAACCAATGAATGCATAAATAAGTGGGACAACAAAGTGATGTTTCTCTCTCTCTCTCTCTCTCTCTCTCTCATCAATAAAAGAAAATCTCTAATTTTTCTAAGTCTGTGTTAATAGCTATGGTGATTTAAAAACATGACCCCCATTCTTCCCTTTAAGAGCTGAGGTCTATGTCCCTCCCCTTGAGTCTGGGCAGGTTTGTGGCTGCTTTGGCTTGTTGAATTCGGCAGAAGTGACCCTCTGTGACTTCTGAAACTGGATGAGAAAAGGTGATGCAGCCCTGGCCGGTGTTTCTCAGTGGTTAGAGCATCAGCCCATGCACTGAAGGGTCACAGGTTCAATTTCTGACCCTGGTCAGGGCATGTGCAGGAGGCAGCCAGTCGATGTGTCTTTCTCACATTGATGTTTCTTTCTCTCTCTTTCTCTTTCTCTCTCCCCTCTCCTTCTCTCCCTCTCACTCTCTCCCTGTCACTCGCTCTAAAAATCAATGGAGAAAATATCCTCAGATGAAGATTAACCAAAATAATAATAATGACAATAATAATAATAATAATAAAGTGATGTAGCTTCTATCTTGTTCACTGGAATCCTCTTGCTTGGAGCTCAGAGTGGCCATGTAACAAGTTCAAATGCCCTGAGACCGCCATGCTGTGAGGAAGCCCCAGCCACATGAAGGTGCTTCGGATTGGTTGTACTATTCTTCCTCTCCTAGCCCAGGAGACAGATAAGTGAGTGAAGATGCCTTCATCTGATTCCTGCCCCAGCTGTTAGCTCACCCCCACCTTTGAGTGTTCCCAGTTGAAACCTCAGACACCAGGGAACATCGAACAATCTTCCATGCTAAGCCCGTTATTGTGATTTCTGAAGTATAGAATTTGGGAGCCTAAGAAAATGGTCATTTAAGACACGAATTTGTGGGGTAATTTGTCCCACAGCTATACTAATTGTAACTATACTAATTGCAATGCCTCCCAAACATTATCTTCCCACCTGAAAGCACCAAAACCCTGAAAATGGAGTTTTTTAAATTATTCATTGTAATTATGTTCTGTAAAGCCACTGCAAACATTGAATTAGCAAATACCGAACCATTACTCCTGGGGAAAAGACAGCATTAGTTTCCTGTGAGCCTCTGGTCACAATATTTTTGTCAACCGATCAATACATAGCCTTTTTTTAAATGTGTGTTTCTGTTTAAAGATACCGTTTGGATATAAACGGTTGATTCGTTAACATTGAGCTCATGGCCAACAAGATGGTAACACACACCTGAACAAAGCTTATCGACACTCATATTTTCCCCATCAGGTGCATCACCGTCTTCTTTTCTGAAAAATGTTTTTATTGATTTTTCAGAGAGAGAGAGAGGAAAGGAGAGGGAGGGAAAGATAAACATTGATGTGTGAGCAAAATATCGATTGGCTGCCTCCTGCACGCCCCCTACTGGGGATCGAGCCTGAAACCCAGCATGTGTCCTGACCGGAATCCAAACGGCAACCTTTAGGTGTGCAGGACGATGTCCAAGCAACGGAGCCACCCTGGCCGGGGCATCCCAGCCTTCCGAGCTGAGGAATACTAGACTGAACTCAGCACTATGCTTGGGGGCCATTTTAGCCAACAAAAAGCACAAACATTCCTGAAGTGTGGCTCTAAATAGTTCACAAAAAGAACACTTATTGACACTCTGAGAGCAGCAGCGAGAGGGCAGGACGTCAGCTCGATCCACCTCAGCTGGGAACATGCGTGTCCGGAGACTCAAAATGTTCATCACTGCACCGATCGGTGGAAGCACGGGCAAGCGTTCGTCTGGCCTTACAAATAAATGTTAGCGAGTAGGCAAATTCACAAATACGGAATCTGTGAGTTATAAGAATTGTCTGTACTATCTAATAAGTTTAGGTCTCACAGTCTTGATGAATATTGGAGAAAGGGAGGCATACGCAGGTAAAGGCATAAAGCAGTCCAAGGGCCTTGCTTTTCCCATTTGTGACACGTGGGTGATGACGCCTTCCCAGTCAGGTCTGTGGTGGAAAGGAATACAGTGGGGCCTTGACTTACGAGTTTAATTCGTTCCGTGACGGAGCTCGTAACTCAAATTACTCGTATGTCAAATCAAAAAGTGAACGAGTGAGACACGTGATGCTGGGCTGATGTTGTGGCATTCACTGTGACGTTCGCTGCGCCAACTAGCGGTGGGGTCTCTGAAGCTGGCTCGTAACCCGAATTTTAGCTCGCAACTCAAAGCAAAAAATCGGCCGAGAGACGGCTCGTATCTCGAAAAACTCGTTAGTCGGGGCACTCGTAAGTCAAGGCTTCACTGTACCGTCATCCCCTTATCTGCGGTTTCACCTCCTGCGGTTTCAGTTACTCTAGTCAACTGCCGTCTGAAAATACACAGGGAAAATTCCAGAAGTCAAGTATTTGTAGGTTTTAAATTGCAGCCCATTATGAGCAGTGTGATGAAATTCTCAATATCCTGCTTTGTCCCAGCCGGGACGTGACTCAGGCCCTCTCCGGCGTCTCCATGCTCCATGCATTCCCCACCCTTTAGTCACCCAGTAGCTGTCTTGGTGATCAGATCCACTGTCACGGTTTCACCGTGCTTGTGATCACATGGTCCTTATTTTACTTGGCCTTAGCGTGCAAGAGCAGTGATGCCGGCAGTGTGGATATGCCCGAGAAGACCAAAGTGCTTCCTTTAAGTAAAGCGGTAAATATGTACAGGGAAAAAAATAGTACTATCTCGGTTTCTGGCATCCACTGGTGGTCTTGAAAAGTACCCCCTCAGATAAGGGGGGACTACTATAGTAATAATAGTAGCAACAACTATTATTTGTCAAGGGCTACATGCTAAACACTTGACACATCTGATCTCGTTGACTCTATGACAATCCTATGGGATAGAGCCAATTATTAAGCCCATTTTACAGATGAGGAAACTCAGACCCAACCAGGTTAAGGGACTTTGCCCAAGATGTTACAAACTAGAGCAGGCAAAGCTGGCTCTCAGGCCCATTTCTGTCTGAGCCCCATGCCCATGTTTTCTCCCACCTTGCTCCCATGATTGCCCACCAGCCCAGGTTTACAAGATGCCTGGCACACAGTATACACACATGCTCTGCCGATGATTCCAAAGGGTCTGGAGCCTTTGAGGCAGTAAAGGGAGGGGGAGGCTGAGCCCTGGGATGGGTGGGGGCAGAGGAGGCGCCACTGGAGAAGGAAGGGAGCCTGTGTGGTGGGCAGGCAGGACAGGGAGCTCGGAGTCAGACCCCCCAGTCCCTCCCACAGAGGGTTAACACAGCCCAGCCTCCTTCCGGCTGAGCGGAAATCAGGTTCTTAGAGCTGCGCAGGGCTCCAGAGGGATGTTTTTTCTTCTCCGTGTGTCTGCTGCGGCTGGCCCATAAAACCCACCGGAACTGCATGCTGAACGGAGGAGTTCCTGCTCAACGGGACATGGAGCAGGCAGGCAGCGGGGAGCCCTTGTCGGGGGACAGACCACCCCCGTCTTCAAGGCCCCACCTCTGGGGCAGGCGATCCCCTCTGGAGGCTTCATGGGATTCTTTGGATGGGGGCACAGGCAAGGAAGAAGTGACACCCCCTCCCCCAAATGAACCTGTGGGGCAAGGAGGGAGAGAAGACGGCGAGGGGCAACGGGCAGGCGAATGGGGCATGATTCCGGTCCTTCCCGGCTGTGTTAGGTGGCACCGGGCAGGCCTCTGCCTGTTTTCTCATCTGAGCACCCTGCGTGAGATGGCCACCATCTGTCATTTCCTTGTCAGAGGTGGAAGTTTGAGGTTCTTTCTATCCTGCAGGCACCTGGCAGGCCTTCCCTCCAGGGGAGGCAGCGCAATGACTATCACTCCTATTTTACAATAAACGGAGGCTCACAGAGGTGAGGCAGCTGCCCGATGTCGGCCACTGGCAGGGGAGGGCAGGATTCAAACCCAGGCCGTCGGTGCCAGAATCCACCTCGCAAGCACTCACTCCCCGGCCTCCCAGTGTGAGCATTCCTAACTGTCCTTGTGCTGGGCTGGTCTCTTCCACGTCTCCTGACTGACCCCTCACTCTTTAAGACTCAGCTCAGCATGATCCCCTCCAGGAAGCCGGCCCTGACTGGCCACGCCAGGCTGGGCTTCCTCTCCGGCTGCCCACACCCTGGGGAGATAACTGTGTTGGTCACTGGGCTGTGAGCTTGGGTGAGCAGAGCCACTTCTGATCCCCCCTGGTCCTCCTGCACCAGCCAACGCAAGAACCTTTCCATTTGCCTTGAAGATGCTGAGTGCTGTGGCCGTTTTAGAACGTGGTCCGTGTTCCTCCCACTGGAGTCTGGGGGGGCTGTGACTGCTTTATGGCAGAGCGGCTCTGTGACGTCTGAGGCTGCGTCATAGAGGGGTGCAGCATCACCTGGTTCACTAGGACGCTGGTTCCTGAAGCCCCGAGCTGCCCGGTAACGAGCCCAAGTGCTCCGAGCTGCATGCCTTGAGGACGCTTAGGCCACACGGGCTCTATAGTCATGGGTAGGCGCTCCTGCTGGCAGCCCTAGTCTTCAAGTCACCCCAGTCCAGGGGCCTGGATGCTTCTAGCCTTCAGCTACGGAGCCAAACCCAGCCTAGTCTTCCCAGCTGAGGCTCAAGACACTAGGCGGCAGGGGCAAGCCAGCCCCACCATGCCGGGGCTGAGGTCATGAGCATAAC